GCACAATTACATCAAGAGCCACCACTTATCAAGGAATATTTTTGTTCACAGCAATACAACTATTTTTTTTTTCAATTCAAGTGACTCTTACTTGTTCAAAACATTGCACCTTTCTCCTTATTTCATTAGTTCCACTCAAAAGCCAAACTAGCCACCCCCACACTTTAACTTTTACACAATTCATAAATAATTCAAGTGGTCATTGATATCTAGGGATTTTGATACATTTTATACTCCCTCTTGCTTATGTTTTGATTAGAAATTTGTACAAAATAGTCCCAAAAGGCTCACAAGTTGTGCTTGATTGCATGTTTGATCAACAAAGTGACAAGATGTCAAAGGTAGCTCAAAAAGGAGTAAAACTTGCACAAGTACCAAGACAAGACAAAGCTCTGGCAAAATAGGACCAATGCGGCCACATACCATTCTGTGCGATCCGCACTAGTGAGGTTCAGAGAGTTTGATTTCCAGGCAAACAGGCAATGCGGCCGCATTGGATTTACTACGGTCTGCATTGGAGTCACTGCGGCCGCACTCAATTTAGTGCGGTCCACAGAGCTAAGAATCAGAGAAATGCCAGTTTTGAGTTTGAAGCCCAATGCGGCCTGCGCTCCATTTCATGCGGACCACACTAGAAGCCACCGCGGCCGCATTCGATTCTGTGCGGTCCGCATTGCGCAAGTTTAGAGAGCCATTTATTCAAGTTCAGAGCCCTAGTACGGCCGCACATGATTTTGTGCAGTCCTCACTAACCCCGAAGGGGTATTTTGCCAGATTTTTCAGCTTAGTATAAGTAGCTTCTTTTCCATTTTTAGGTGAAACAGATAGTTAGTACTGAAGGTTGCGCTCGTGGGCTCGAATATTTTAGCTGTTTTGAGTAATTTTAGTTGTATTTCAACATTGAATCTTCAAGTTTAATTTAGCAATTAACTAATATGAGTTTTTCTTCATCTATTTCTTTATTTTCTTCTCTAATTATGAGTAGTTAGACCTATAAGATAGGGTTGTGGCTCAACCCTAGTGTGGGTAATTGATGGGTCTTGTGTTTTAGAGCTTGATTGACTATGGGTGTTTGATATTTGGACTAATTTCATGTTTAATAGTTGAATTAGTGGTTGAAAACACTAGTTTGTGTTTAGTTGATTTTGGCTCTTCTTGAGAAAGAGAGCCTAAGTCTCTGAAATTGGTCCAACAAGGAGTTGGGGCGTACTCAAGAGATTGACAGCCCCAATTAAAGGGTTAAACCTAGAGATGGTAATACCCGACTTGAACCCTGATGCTTGTGCAAATTTGCATACCCAATTGGTCTTGAGAAAGTCAATTCGGGCAAAAATCGCTCAAACTACCGAGAGGTATAAAGTTTTGTAGAATCGAGCAACAGTTATATCATACTCCCCAAATGTGACAATCTAGCTTTAGACTCAAGATTCCGTCAATTGACCACCAGGAGGAAGTCACTACCCTAGTGCCTTTTTATCATTTAAACAACTCGTAATAGTTTAACCTTAACTTATTTTAGTTTAATTGAGCATTGTAGTTTTATAAAATTAGAATCATAATCAAAACCAAAAATGTGTAGAAGTGCAATTAAGAGAAAATACACAACTCCACTTTAGATAGACACCCGACTCCAATATCTAGCTCTATGTGGAAATCGATCCCGACCTTAATCGGGTAAAAGCTGCTTCGGCCTCTCTCACTACTCAATAGTAGTGCAGGGTTGGCCTCAATCACTTTTTGGCGTCGTTGCCAGGGATGCTAATGCTTTTGGCTATCTATCTAAATAGTTTTGTGTTTTATTCTTCTTTCCTTCTTTGTTACTAATTTGTGTGTGTCAAAACTTCAGGTACAAAATGGCATTAAATGCTAATGACCCTCTTGGAATTGTGATTGCAGGGGAGGAGGTTGATGATAATGGAGAGGATGAGGTGCCTCTTGTACCTCCAGGACAACAAAGAGGCCGCCAGGCCAATGTTAATAAGAATATTCCAGACCCACCTCCGCCACCTCCAAGAGCGGTTCCTCGAGTGCTCCCAAACCAAGGCTATGCAAGTGCAATTGTCTCACCCCGGATCCAGGTGGGCAATTTCCAAATTACTAATGTGATGCTGACATTGCTGGAGCAACGTGGGTACTTCACGGGCGCTGCCACTCAAAATGCTTACAAACATCTCAAGGGGTTCGTGGATACCTGTTGGGGGAGCAAGCAAACTAATCTGTCAGAGGATGCACTCCGGTTGAGACTCTTCCCATTTTCACTTAGAGGGAAGGTGTTAAATTGGCTTGAGCGACTTCCCAACCATTCCATCACTACTTGGGATGAGTTGGCGGACAAGTTCATTGTAAAGTTCTTCTCACTGGGGCATATGGCAGCTTTGCGGGATGAGATCTTAGCTTTTAAGTAGGATCCCACCGAACCATTGCATGAGATTTGGGAGAGATATAGAACTATGGTGAAGGAATGCCCCAATAATAATATGACGGATAATATATTGCAAAAAAATTTCTATCGGGGAATCAACACAACAAATAAATGCATAGTGAATCAACTTGTTGGGGGTAATTTCATGAAATTGACGTATGATGAAGCTTGTGTCATTCTTGACAAGATAGCTGACACATCCTCTGCTGGTCAAAGTAGAGCCAATGTGCCCTAGGATGACCCTACAGTCACTCATTTGCACAAAGAATTACATGATCATGGGCAGGCGATAGTTGAGTTGACAACAACCATGAACCAGCTAGCAAAGACTCAGTTGCAACAAGTCCAAAATCCTCACCAAGTGAATGCCATGGAGGGTGTTAACATGATAGTGAACCAAAAAAGACAAAGAGGTCAACAGAACCAAGGGAATTCGGATCAATTTGACAACGATGGTAGTGGATTTCAAGATGATGGATATGATGGGCAAAATGAAGAGGTACAATATGTGAATAATTATCAAGGCCAAAGAGGCAATTCTTCCAACCAACAGCAACAATGGAGATCCCAAGGCAATTGGGGTATTCAACAACAAGGCAACAATAATTGGAACAATCACCAACAAAGGAACAACAATTGGGGAAACAATAATCAAAATTCGAATTGGGGCAATCAAAACAACAATCGAAGCAATCAAGGAAACTGGGGCAACAACAACAACCAGGGTGGATGGAACAACAACCAGGGAAATCAGGGGAAAGGTTTTCAAAGGCCCCCAATGTACCAACAACCGAGCAATCTACCACTTTTCCATCCCAGGGTCCTAGTTCTTCTAGCAATGATATGGGTAGAATTGAAATGATGTTCGAACAAATGATGAAGAAGAATGCGGATTCAGATGCTCTGTTGTCTTCTCACAATACTTCAGTTAGAAATTTTGAGTTGCAAATAGGCCAAATCTCTCAGTCCTTGAATACATGCCCTAAGGGTGCTCTACCAAGTGATACGGTAGTGAACCCGAAGGTAGGAACAATCATGTTATGGTAGTAACCACTAGGAGTGGACGAGGCGGTGATGTGAATGCCTCCAAACAAAAGCAAGTTTTGGGTGATGAAGTTGAGTTGCAAGAAGATGAATTTCCTTTGGTGGTTGAGAATGTGGTTGATGAAAATGTGAATGAAGAAGTGAGGATTGATATTCAAGATGCCGAGGTGGAAACGCAAAATGACATGAACCCGTCTAGGGAACACGTAATAGACATGCCGGAACCGGTTGTGCCAAAAGCCAAGGCACCCTTGGCTAGGCCACCTCCACCTTATTCTCAAAGACTAGCCAAGCAGAAAACTGAGAATCAATTCAAAAAGTTCATTGACATGATGAAAAGCTTATCCATCAATGTGCCCTTGGTGGAGGCTTTGGAGCAAGTGCCCGGCTATGCTAAATTCATGAAATATTTGGTGACAAAGAAAAGATCCATGGACTGTGAAACTATCAAGATGACCCACCAAGTTACTGCTATATAAATTCAATGGCTCCAAAGTTGGAGGATCCCGGTGCTTTCACTATCCCTTGCACTATTGGAAGTGCAGATTTTGCTAAATCTTTATGTGATTTAGGGGCAAGCATCAACTTGATGCCCTACTCATTTTTCAAGACTTTGGGTATTGGGCCACCGAGGCCAACTTTCATGAGATTGCAAATGCCGGATAGATCAATGAAGCAACCATTGGGTATTGTTGATGATGTACTTGTCCGGGGGGGACAAATTTATTTTACCAGCTGATTTTGTGATCTTGGATTGTGAGGTAGACTATGAAGTTCCGATCATATTGGGGATACATTTCCTTGCTACGGGGAAGGCTCTAGTTGAAATGGAAGCAGGGGAACTCACTTTTTGGGTGGCTGATGAAAAGGTAGTTTTTCATGTATGCAAGTCAATGAAGCAACCCAATTGTACCGAAGTGTGCTAATTTGTGGATCTTGTCACGGCTGTGATAATTGATAATACTAGTACAATGATCAATGTGGAAGACCTCTAAAGGCCGTATTGTTAAATCTTGATGTCAATGATGATGAGGGCCGAGTGGAGTGTGTGAATGCTTTACATGGAATGGGCTCTTATTCTTATGAGCCTAGGAAACTCTCCTTGGATCTTGAAAATAGAAAGACTCCTAAAACAAAACCTTCAATTGAGGAACCTCCGGTGTTGGAGTTGAAGCTATTGCCTCCACACCTCAGGTATGAATTCTTAGGCCCTAGTTCAACGTTACCAGTTATTCTTTCCTCTTGTCTTACTAACATATAGGTAGACACCACATTGGCTGTGCTCAAAAAGCGAAAGAAGGCAATTGGATAGACTTTAGCTGATATTCGGGGAATAAACCTCGCATTTTATATACACAAGATTATTCTTGAAGATGATGCAAAACCCTCCTTGGAACATCAAATGAGGTTGAATGAGGCCATACAAGAAGTTGTGAAAAAGGAGGTGATCAAGTGGTTAGATGTCGGGGTTGTGTACCCTATCTCTGATAGCTCATGGACTTCACCAGTGTAGTGTGTACCGAAGAAGGGCGATATGACCGTGGTGACCAATGATAACAATGAACTAATTCCTACCCAAACAGTTACCGGATGGAGGGTATGCATGGACTACCGCAAGCTGAATAAGGTGACCCGCAAGGATCACTTCCCATTGCCTTTCCTTGACCAGATGCTCGATCGTCTTGCTGGACGTGCCTTCTATTGCTTCTTGGATGGATATTTTGGGTACAATCAAATCCTGATTGCCCTGGAGGATCAGGAGAAGACCACATTTACTTGTCCATATGGCACCTTTGCTTTTTCTCGGATGCCTTTCGGGATGCGTAATGCCCCGGTGACATTCCAACGATGTATGATGGCCATTTTCACCGATATGGTGGAAGATATTTTGGAGGTGTGCATGGATGACTTTAGTGTGGTGGGTGATTCATTTGATGAATATTTGAAAATTTTGTATAGAGTGTTGGCCCGTTGTGAAGACACCAATCTTGTACTCAATTGGGAAAAATGCCACTTCATGGTTGAGGAGGGCATAGTGTTGGCTCATAAAATTTCAAAGTATGGCATAGAAGTTGATAAGGCCAAAATAGAGGTGATTTCAAGGCTTCCTCCCCCCACTTCTGTAAAGGGGGTCAGGAGTTTTCTTGGGCATGCGGGGTTCTACCGGAGGTTTATAAAAGATTTTTCGAAGGTAGTGAACCCTTTGTGCAAGATACTAGAAAAGGATGTCATGTTTGTGTTCGATGAGGGATGTATGCAAGCATTTGAACTTCTCAAGCTTAAGCTGACCACCACCCCGATCATTACCGCACCAAATTGGAGTTTGCCTTTCGAGCTCATGTGTGACGTGAGTGACGTTGCCGTTGGGGCAGTTTTGGGTCAAAAAGTTAGCAAAATGTTTCATCTGGTGTACTACGCGAGCAAGACCATGAATGAGGCTCAAAGAAACTACACGGTAACTGAGAAAGAGTTGTTGGCCATAGTGTTTGCAATGGAAAAGTTTTGACCGTATCTTATGGGAGCCAAGGTCATAGTGCACACCGATCATACAGCCCTTAGGTACTTGATGACAAAGAAAGACTCCAAAACTAGGCTGATGCTATGGGTTTTGTTTCTTCAAGAGTTTGATTTAGAAATTGTGGATAGGAAGGGTAGTGAAAACCAAGTGGTGGACCACTTATCCCGCTTGGAGGAGGAAGGAAGGCCATGTGATGGCCTAGAGATCAATGATGCATTTCCCGATGAGTAGCTACTTTTTGTGTCAATGAGTGATATTTTGTGGTTTGCGGATGTTGCTAATTACCATGTGATTGGCATCATCCCGTGTGAGCTCTCTTCTAACCAAAGGAAGAAGCTCAAACGGGATAGTTTGGATTTCTATTGGGATGAGCCGTATTTCTTCAAGATTTGCACGGATGGTATGATCCGATGATGTGTCCCGGAGGAAGAGCAATTGAGTATCTTGGAAGCTTGTCATTCCTCTCCCTATAGTGGCCATCATGGTGGGGCGAGGACTGCTTCCAAAGTTGTTAGTTGTGGGTTTTATTGGCTAAATTTGTACAAAGATGCAAGTGATCTTGTGAAAAAGTGTGACGAATGTCAAAGAGCGGGTGGAATTTAGAAGAAAGATGATATGACTCTCAATACCATTCTTGAGGTTGATATCTTTGATGTATGGGGCATTGACTTTATGGGCCCATTCGTTAGCTCGTGTGGGAACACCTACATCCTAGTGGCGACTGACTATGTTTCAAAATGGGTCGAGGCTGTGGCTTTGCCAATAATGAATCTAGGAGCATGGTTTCGTTTCTCAAAAAGGGCATTTTTACAAGGTTTAGCACTCCTCATGCAATCATAAGTGATGGGGGTCGCATTTTTGTAATAGAGCTTTTGACACCTTGCTTGCAAAGTATGATGTCAACCACAAAGTGTCTACTCCTTATCATCCTCAGGCGAGTGGCCAAGTTAAAGTCTCAAACAGGGAAATCAAGAATATTCTATCTAAAACGGTTGATGCAAATAGGACCGACTGGTCTAAGAAGTTGGATGATGCTCTATGGGCGTATAGAACTGCTTACAAAACTCCGATTGGTATGTCTCTGTATCGGTTGGTGTTCGGGAAAGCTTGCCATTTACCGGTTGAGTTAGAGCATAAGTCCATGTGGTCCTTGAGGAAGTTGAACCTTGATTGGGATGTAGCTGCTAATCTTCGGGTGGAGAAACTCAATGAACTTGACGAATTTAGATTACATGCCTACTCTAGTTCGTCCCTGTATAAGGATAAAATGAAATACCTTCACGACAAATATACTCGGGGCAAGGAGTTCAAGGTGGGGGATTTGGTGCTCTTATTCAACTCTCGGCTACGGTTGTTCTCGAGAAAGCTCAAGTCAAAATGGAGCGGACCGTTTGAAGTAGTGTGTGTGACTCCGTTTGGTGCTCTTGATTTAAAGAACAAAAGTGGGGAAGTTTTTAGAGTGAATGGGAATAGGGTCAAGCACTACTTGGGAAAAATTGATGACAACCATGTGGTGGCACTTCTTCATCTCAAATGATTTGATGGTAACCTGCATCGTGCCGCGACGTTAAATCAGGGGCTTCTTGGGAGGCAACCCGTGTGTTTTTCTTCTTGTTTTTCTTTGTTTTTCATTGTAGGATAGGATTTTTTTAATTGACTGGTTGTGAGGTGTTACAGGCTTGTGTTGATGCAGTGCAGGACATAGTGGAAAAAGTATTCATGTCTCTGAAGTTTTTAATGCGGCCACACTACATTTAGTATGGACCGCACTGAAGAAGGATGAAAATATCAACTCTCTGAAGTTTGCCACCGCGGCCGCATTCCATTTTGTGCGGACCGCAATGGTTGCCTTCTCAAACTTTGAAAATTACTGTGTGGTGCGGACCGCAGTCCATTTTGTGCGGTCTGCATTGGGTCGGTAAGCTGGGCCCCAGGTCCTTTTCTATAAATAGGGCCTGAGGTCCCCCTTTTACACTTTTCAACCCTTTGCTCTCAGAACTCATAAAAGCACTGTTCATCTTTCCTTTTGCTCGTAATTAACTACTTGAACTCGTTAACCTTCAGTTTATCTCACATCTGGTGCCATTAACTTCTTATTAATTGTTTTAATTTTGTTAATTTCTTTTAATTTTTGTTTTTCTTGTTTTCCTTCTGCTATTCCCGTACTTCTTTTGATTTGGTAAAATTAGTTAGTTAATTTCCCGATTAAAGTAGAATTAGGTAGTTAGAAACACTGGGCAAACACATAGGAACCTTTCTTAGGTGTAAAATAGGACTTAAAATCAAAATACATTGAACCCTAAGTTAGTGTTGCTTCTGGGCACTCAGTACAGGCTGCGGTCGATTCTGTGTGGTCCGCTGTGCTTTAGTGTGATCCGCAATGGCATTTTGTGGGGACCGCATTGCTGAGTCTCTATTATCTGAAGTATAGGGACTGCGGCCGCACTACATTTTGTGCGGTCCGCATTGACTGGATACAGAGATTGGATAGTCTGAACCCCATCTCTGTGCAGACCGCATTGCCATTTTGTGTGGTCCGCATTGGCCTCTGTGTGGCCGCACGCTATTTTGTGCGGTCCGCATTGGCCTCTGTGCGGCCGCACTCTATTTTGTGTGGTCCGCAACTGTCTGCAAACTTTTCTGCAACTCTGATCTTACTTACCTGTACTGATACTAACAAGCCTAATGGATGTTGTTTGCAAACAATGGTGAAACAAAGAGGCAAGGGCTCTAAACAACCGGGCAGAGGAGAATCCTTCCGGGGAGGGAAACAAAAAATGATAAGACTGACTCCTCAAGCCCGGCAAAATATTTAAAACACAAGGAAGCTGATTAGAGCTGCTGATAGAGCCATTGACATGTCTGGGAGTGAGTACGAGCCCTCCCGGGAGATACCTTCAGACTCCGTGCCAGAGTACATCCCTGACTGGCCAGAGAGAAACAGGATAAGAGACACTCATCCACCTTCCCCCACTACCCAATCTTCAGTGAATGTCTCTTCTGGGTCATATAAAGGCTCAGCTGAAGGTAGTGGGGATGAATACTCCACCTCTCCCACAACTTCATTATCCGGAGAGGGTGCAGTAGGAGATGAGGAGGCAGCAAAAGAAGAAGAAGAGGTAGTAGAAGAAGGGGGTGAACCTCAGGTGGGAGGTGTTGCTAGAACTAGAAAGCCGGAGGTGTGAAAAGACCGATTTGTGAATATGGAGCTTATCACAAATTTAGGGAATGGTGGTCGGTGAGGAAGTTGATCCCGGAGAGGAGTTTTGTGGATAGAGACATATTGCCTCACAACCCCAATGTGAGGAGGCAGTTTAGGGAGAGAGTTGTCTAGGAGTATTTCTTGGGGGACTATGCGGATGCGAATGAGCACTTGGTCAAGGAATTCTATACCAATGCTGCCCACATCAAAAAGGGCACCAAAGTGACCAAGGTGCGAAATTTAAAGGTGTTGTTTGATGGAAAGTCAATTAATGACTACTTGGGCTTTGTTGAGGAGGATGAGTCGCTATACTTGGCGAAGATGGAATTAGGTGAAGAAGTTCGTCCTTAGTTGACACAGTATCTGGCAATCCCAGGTACCACCCCCGATTGGCTGAATGCGGGAGTAAAGATTTTGAGAAGAAGTTTGAACTTTGAGGCCAAGGGGTGGGAAACATTTGTGTACAGCAGGTTGGACCCCACTACTCATGACAACTCCCTCCCTCTTCACCGGGCAGTTTTGTTGGCATCGATCATGGCAGGGTACCCGATTAACCGTCGAGAATGTGATGTCGCGAGTGATTACACAAGTGGTAACTAAGGGTGACAAAAACTACCCCTTCCCCAGCTTCTTGACCATGTACCTCCGGGACCTCAAGGTTGAGAAGAGGCCATTTGATATCAAGGTAAATGCAAAGGCCCCGTTCTCCTGGTATAACATGCAGGGTGATGACAACCCGAAGAGCAAGAACTACAAGAGAACAACCACTGCTCTATCAGGCCAGTCTGAAGGCTCCTACTCGAACTGCCTCCACCTCTGTAGACATTCCACCTGGTCCATCCACTTTAGCAGAGCCAGAGATACCCTCTTCCCGAGCCTACCCAGTGACTGCTCACCGACTGAGCCAGGCTCTTCTCAGCATCAAGAACTAGATGCAGACAGCTTCATCCAAGTTGTCTATCCTCACTACTACAGTGGAAGCTCAGTCGGCACCTTCGCCTCCGCTGGTCCCACAATCTATTGAGGATGCCCTCAAGGAGATTCTGGTCAACCAGAAGAAAATCCTTGACAACCAGAAAATGCTCACGAATGTTATTGATTCACACAGCAAGGCTCTTAAGGAGCTTTCTAAGGAGCACAAGAAGTTGAGGAAGATGCAGGATTCTAAGGAGTCCATAAAGAAGCTAAGGGTTGAGGTTGACAGGATGAGGGAAGATCATTTGCCTTTGGACTTATTGTTACAGGACCCGATACCAGCAGCTCATCCCTAGCCTGAGCAGTCCCAGAGGCCTCCCAAGAGGAAGAGGATGACTCCCCGAGCAGACGATGCAGTCATCCAGTTGGCAGACCCACCGGAGACCTCCTCTAGTCAGCCACAGGATGCACCTCAGAAGCTTGTCCAGTCCCGGGTCCCAGCAGCAGAGCAGCAGGCCATAGGGAGCCAGTTTGAGGTTCCCGAGCATATTGAGGACCCAGGGGCCACTCAGGAGCCCATGCAGATAGATGAGCCATAGGGAGTCTCTCTATCCTTTTCCATTTTTTTTTGGTGCTTATTTAGTTTAACTGGCATTGGGGACAATGCCAGCTTTCATTTGAGGGGGTAGGCCCTACTTTTATGGATTTGGATGATTCTATATATTTGACAATTTCTATGCTTTCTTTATTTTTCATCTTTGGTTTGTATATAATTTTAACATTTCGTTACATTTCTCGTACTTTTATTTTACTTTGGGTTTATATATAAAGTTTTGTTACATTGTACATATTCATCCCATCTATTGTATATTCGATTAAATCTCCTCTTGTATATATTCATTTTACTTTCCGCAATTTTTCGTTCTTAGCTTCTTATTTATGTTCGTAGCTTCTTGTTTTGAACATTTGCAATAAGCCTTTGGTATTCTTAATTCCACGGTTCTTTCCAAAGGTGGAGTTTGTGTGAACTGGGTGGCTCCTTCTTAAGGGTTTGAGTCCGTTTTTTTTTTCTTTTTGCTTTTTAGTAGTTAGTGGTTAAGGGTGCCTCAAGCAATGCTTTACTTGGGCCTAGCACATTTGCCTTTGATCTTATGGTCAAAAACAAAGTGTTATGTTTAGGATGGTGAAAGTAGTGACCTTGAGACTCTTGTGTTGATCGATAATCATCAAGTGGTTTTTCGGGACTATTGTGTGCTCAAATCTTATCTAAGGTCTTTGTGGCCACCGACTCTATGTCTTTAGTGACCCCATAGCATGTGTGGTGAGAAATTGCATTGCAAGTCCAAGTCTCGAGCCATTGGTCTAGAACTTGCCCTGAATGTTTGTTGAGGCGAAATCCTAAGTGAATTTTGACTTGAGACATGAGTATAGGCTCTCCTTGATCCAAATGATAGCTTGAACAGTTCCATAGCCTACCAAAGATAAAATCCCCAGTCAACCCTTTTGAGCCTTAAACCTTTTTCCTTCAAGAACCACGATACAAGTCTTTACCCATTCTAAAAGATATCCTCTCTTGGCACCCGATCTTTCCTTAGCACATGGCAAAAGTATAAGTTTGGGGGGGGGGAGACGAGGATTGCAACAAAGTGGTAAAAGGGTACAAAATGAAGAAAAAGGAAATGCAATGAAAAAGAAAGAAAAGCAAAAGGACAAAAAGAATACTCAATGTGGAAATAAATAAAAGGGAGTCAAGAAAAGCAAAGAATGAAAGGTGTGGAAAAGTGAGAAAGGAGAAAAGAGTTGAAATATCTAAGAAAGAGTGACAATGTGTCTCTCTAACCCCTTGAAAGAAGTGAAAAGACTCAAAAAGTCAAGTGAATTTGTGCCAAAATGAAACAAAAGAAGTGCTTAAGGGAAGATGGAACCTACTTAGACCAAACATTGTCTTCCCGGAACCAAAAGCCTTCACTATGTCTCCACAAAAGCCTTATATGATCTCTAGTTGAATGAAGTTTACATTAGTGGTGACTCACATAATGGGCAAGCATATGGTACTTAGAGCCGGACTTGTGACTTTTCTTTTTGAGAGATAAGTGAATTCCCATTAACCTCGTTATGAGTGCAATTATTCTAAAAGTGAGGTTTGCTTAAGGGAAGCTGAGGATGTGTGAGTTTGGGTTCCACAATGACTAAAGTAATAGAAAGAGTCCTTTGATGTGTTGAGTCAATGCGGACCGCACTCCATTTCATGCGGACCACACTAGAAGCCACCACATCCGCATTCGATTCTGTGCGGTCCGCATTGCGCAAGTTCAGAGAGCCATTTAATCAAGTTCATAGCCCTAGTGTGGGCGCACGTGATTTTGTGCGGTCCGCACTAACCCCGTAGGGGTATTTTAGTCCAGATTTTTTAGCTTAGTATAAATAGCTTCTTTTCCATTTTTAGGTGAAGCAGATAGTTAGTACTGAAGGTTGCGCTCGTGGGTTCGAATATTTTAGCTGTTTTGAGTAATTTTAGTTGTATTTCAACATTGAATCTTCAAGTTTAATTTAGCAATTAATTAATATGAGTTTTTCTTCATCTATTTCTTTGTCTTCTTCTCTAATTATGAGTAATTAGACCCATAAGCTAGGGTTGTGGCTCAACCCTAGTGTGGGTAATTGATGGGTCCTGTGTTGTAGGGCTTGATTGACTATGGGTGTTTTATATTTGGACTAATTTCATGTTTAATTGTTGAATTAGTGGTTGCAAACACTAGTTTGTGTTTAGTTGATTTTGGCTCTTCTTAAGAAAGAGAGCCTAAGTCTCTAAAATTGGTGCAACAAGGAATTGGGGCATACTCAAGAGATTGATAGTCCCAATTAAAGGGTTAAACCTAGATATAGTAATACCCGACTTGAACCTTGATTGCTTGTGCAAATTTGCATACTCAATTGGTCTCGAGAAAGTCAATTTGGGCAAAAATCGCTTAAACTACCGAGAGGTATAGAGTGAGTAGAATCGAGCAACGGTTATATCATACTCCCCAAATGTGACAATCTAGCTTTAGACTCAAGATTCCGTCAATTGATCACCTAGGCGGAAGCCACTACCCTAGTGCTTTTTTATCATTTGAATAACTCACAATAGTTTAACCTTAGCTTATTTTAGTATAATTAAGCATTGTAGTTTTATAAAATTAGAATCATAATCAAAACCAAAAATGTGTAGAAGTGCAATTAAGAGCAAATACACAACTCCGATTTAGATAGACATCCGACTCCAATTTCTAGCTCCCTGTGGAAATCGATCCCGACCTTAATCGGGTAAAAGCTGCTTTGACCTCTCTCACTACTCAATAGTAGTGCAGGGTTGGCCTCGATCAGTCATGAGAGGTTACAATGGTTCAAATAGATGGTTAATTCAAATATATGGATAAGGCTTGTAATGTAGTTGCCAAAGAAACAGGATTACAGGCTCAAAGAGGTTAACTACGATACATAACAATTAGGCAGGTAAAATATATATATCTGGCTCAACAAAGAAATGCCGATATCACTTCCAAGACTGAACAAAACTACTATTTCGCTTTGCAAACACACGGGGCAAGTTCTAGGCATCAAATGTGATGCACAGAATAACACCCAAACCTCACACACACATGGCACATAACTCACTCGGGATTGGTTTCATCAAGACACTCTAGTCAAAGCAGTTAAGAAAAGTTACGATCATATAAAATAAAGTACTTATACAAGAGTCAAAAACTGAGCCTAAGCGTCACAACCAGAGTACTTACTATTCTCAAAGCATAACAAAGTTAAGAGATATCGCTGCAATTCAATTCATCTCACACTAGCTCATACTCCTACAAAAATAAAACTAACTACACCGGTTCAAAACAAAACCCTTGGAAAAGAATCGCGGCACAATGAATAACCACTAGGTAATTGCTACACTACCTAACAACAGAAAATCTTTTTGTCTTTTTCTTTAGACGTAAATCCTTCAAGAAAATTGTCTAATAGATCCATCATCGGGAAAAGTCCAATCTTTTTTTTTTGTTTTTCTAAAAAAATAAAAAAAATATTCAATTAAACTAATACAACTAAAATAGCATAGAAAGACACCCAGACAATCTCCTCGCCCCACACTTAAAATTGTGCATTGTCCCAAATGCACACCATAACTAATAAAAGGGTAAAAAAGACTCTCTGGTAGGCCAAATGCCGAAGCACTAACAGCTCATGGGGTAGTCAGACTTCTCCCAAGCTTGGTCCTTCGTGCGGGTACCTCACACGTAGTTCTAACCATTTGTTTTGTTGTTGCATCCTTCCAATAGTTTTGCTTTCCATGTTCCTAGAATATCAAAAATTGACACTACAAAAATAATACAATTAAAAAATAAAATAAAAAAATAGTAAAGTTGGGTTGCCTCCCAATAAGAGCTTGATTTAACGTCGCGGCACGACATGAATTACTTTTTGTCGCCACCTCGAGCTTATGAATTGAACTCCAAGTTTTGCTTCAATCTTATGATTATGCTCTTGGGGCGGTGGAACGAATCTAACTGGCTCGAGGAAATAATGTAGTATTCTGCACTCTTTGGCCTTTGTATGAGGTATGTAATCCTGACTTTCTGGCAAGAAGAATTCCAAAATATATGCATCTTGTTCCTCATTCCTTGACTCTTCAATGGGTTCGGATGACTCTATTTCCATATTATCATCCAAACATAATGTGAAAAAATGCATGGAGTGTGGACCAATACACTCAAACACATGAACTTCAAGATTTTCAACATCCTCAACATCAATAATACTAGAGTCAACAAAATTTATATCCTCAAAATCCATGGCTGGCTCTAGTCTCACTTCTTCAACATTGACATCTTCAAATTGTAGTTGGATAGGTTGTTGATGTTCTACTCTGACCTCCTCAATTAACACCTCAAATTCATGCTCTTCTTGGCTACTATCCTCAATATTGGCTTGTTGAATATTAAAAGCTCCAACCACTTGACTCAATTGAGCCTCCAACTTGCGAATAGTTGCCTCTTGCTTTTCTATCTGCAATTGTTTTTCATTATTTTGTTTCAAAAAGCACTTTAATATATCCTTGATCTCTTTCAGGTCTGCATCCCCAAGTTCTTTGTTCCTGTTAACTTCACAAGAAAAGGTAGAACCATCATAGTAAGGGGTTGGGGAAGATAAGAAATATAAGCACAACCATAAAAGTGACCATTTTTACCACCAAACACATCACACACATTCCACAAATAAGATTGAGTTAGTGCGCATAACTCGCTCTCAGAAACGTTTTAAAAATTTTGCCACGGGTGGTTTCCTTCACAATATGTAAGGAGATCAATAGTAGAATTATCTACACATAAATTCTCATAATTCCAAGATGTCATTTTCTCAAATTAACAGTTATAAAAATACAAAAACAACAAAACACATAAAAGTTTAAACTTGAACCTTAGAAATATATACAACTACAACTACACCGTTAGTTCCCCGGTAACGGCGCTAAAATTTGATCACACCCAACTCTAGTCGTAAAAAGGATAAGCGATCGCTGCAAATATAATCCGGACTATAAGTCCGAAGTCGAATCTCACAGGCTTAGCTGCAGTTGTTCAATATTGCTAAGAACCACAAGTCCAACAATTTCCTAATTATAGAGATTATAATATTTATTTCTAACTAATTAACTAACACTATTGTAAAGTAGTAAAATTATCAACTAACAATGATGAAATTTGAGACAAAACTAAGGAGGTCTAGAGTTATGATTTTCCCAAATGTTGGAATCCTTCCCACTATGTTCCCAACAATTTCGCATATGTATTCTCTACTGATCGTGAGCATTTTAGGTGTCATAATTCTCTCTTGAGCAACTACAATAATTTGCTAGACATATTCTTTCGAACAACGCTAGTTGGCTATATCTAACCGCTCATTATGACCAGTCAAGGCTTTGTTATTTCTAAACCTACCTTTAAACCCGCTATATTGATTTCTCACATACGTTAGGAGTGATGTTGTTCAACAACCACCTAAATATGTATCATTTATCAAGCAACACATAATAAATATGCATAGTCAATCGATGGTCATTCAATCAACAACAATAAACACGTAGTTGAAAAAGTAGAGAAATCCAACAACTTAATTATATAAAAACATAACAAGAATTTTTCCTACAAAAGGTTCCATCAAAATCCTAGATAACAAATTAGATATTCATAATAGTATATAAGACTACAATACTAAGAGTCATAACCAACAATAGGAAAAGGAAGGAAAAACTTGTAGAAAAATTCTCAGCCTTGCTCCTATTGTGTCTCTACCTCCTTAGGTCGAATCTGTGTCAAAACTATGTCCTACCTCTTAAAATATCGTTTTTCCATGTATATATACCAAGTAGGGTCGGGCCCAAACAATTATACCTTCTTCTACGCGAAAAAGGATAATTTTTCAGGTCTGGACGCTCACGGTCGCGGTTCGGGCGCGATATTTTACCAGTGCACTGCCTCAGTCCGCGTCCAGGTCCTCGGTCGCGATTTAAACTGCATTTTTCACCCTGTTATGTTTGGAATTTGGAAAAACGTAAAACATGAAAGTAGTATTCATTTGAGTTAGCTTTCCAACCATAAATTATATATCCCAAATGGAGTTCGGAGCAAAAGGTCACGTCTATTTTACTAGACAGTGCGCAATATGCCTACTCGAGTCTTCGTTTGTTCTTAACTATCAAATTTAACCCTCGAACACGATCCCGACTTAATTACTTGGGCTTTTACTCAGACTTCAAAGCTCCAAATCACTAGAATTCATTCCATAACATCTATATAGCTCGAAATCACTCCTACAAGACATAAAACACACCATTAGTGCAAAACACTAGCGATTAAAGCTCAAACTCAATTAAAGTGCAATAAATTAGAGTGTAATAAGCGACTAAAATACATAATTATAGCCTATCATCATGTGCCAAGTCGTTCCCCTTTACTGTTGTAGTGTAGGTGGTGATGTGCTCCTGTGGATCCATAGTCCCATCGTATTTTGGTATATCTGGCATCTTAAACCTTTTTGGGATCAACTCAGGTGTCGCACATATACTTTTTTGAATCTAGACCCTTTAACACCGGCTACGCGCCCGGTATCTGACCCATTCGAGCATGAACTCCTTTGCATTTTGATCCACCCATTTGTTCATTTCTCTCATGAACCTCATGAGCTAGGTTTTCAAACGATTTTCAAGTTATTGTTACTAGATCCACTACTGGTCCCTCCGGCTTCGTCGAAACCTGCCTTATCCTGAGTTTTGTTTTCACTTCTTTGATTTGTTTGATTTGAAGGACCGCTGGGAGGAACCGGAACCCTTCCATTGGCATAATTGGAAGCACTTCATAACACTTGTTTCAATTTCTTCATCACGCGATTTTGCCTTGAGAGATGATCCCATAATCGTTTTTGCTGTTCTCTGAAGATTTTTACTATTTCAACAACATGCTCATCCTACTTTAGGTACAATTCTATAAAAGGTACGAAATCTCATGATTTGCTAATTAATCAATCTCTCACTGATATGTGCCGAAATTTCCGCCGTGATATATGATTTTGAAGGTAAACACTTCGAAAAAGGAAACTACATCTCTTAGCACATCCAATTCCACAGCTATACGAAATCCTCCAAACATAGGTATATAAAGTAGGAACTTCTCTGTGGAAACATAAAGTCATGACGCATACTTAAAACCTAAACTTCTGTTTGGTGAAGGTAAAGATTTAATTGTCAAATACTCTGCCCTGCAATCTCCTAAGGAGTTGAAGATAATACATCTTGAATTATGAAATCGGATTCTTCAATCTAGCATTTCTAGCTCTGCATTATCGAAATCCTGGATGAAACTGTTTTCCTCGCGTCACAGTTGATAGTAAAATTTTGTTGTATCTGCATAATTCATGTAAAATAATTACATGGCTGAATTAATCAGTGGTTCAAACTTACAATTCTTTCTTTTTACTACCTAGAATTTCCCATCACAGATGGCACTCCCTCTGCAAAATTATACATCCAGATGACAATTTTACATTGGAAAAATTCTGATGTTACATACCTTGACTATGGAAGAACATAAGAGCGGAATATAAGGGGATAGGTGCAGCAAAATCCACTGCTCCAACACTGCACAAAATCCTAATTTAGTTTACAAACCAAAACTTCTGTAAGCTAATGAAGCAAACTGAATCTCCTTTAGAATCATCTGGTTATGGCGTTGAGGAGATCTATAGCAATTACAGTGGTGGAAGGACCACAATGACACTATTGAATATTAAACAAAGAGCAGTATTATAACGAACTCAAGAGTGTGTGGGAACTAACCACAGAAAGCAATGGTCCCTGCTTAAACTTGTCATGAAATGAAAAAGCTATTGGCTTGGGGTCATCTCCAGGACCCCTAACGAACCCACTGGATTTTGTATAAAAATAAAAGTTGTTAGAAACATTAAGGATAAAATTAAGTACATACACAATCCAGTAAAACGTGAAGAGATTTATCTCCATCAGAACCACCACATATGTGAAACCAATAACTAATTAATAGTACAAATTTTAATAGACAAGCATGCATAAACAGAGATAATTCCAACTTACACCAAAGACGCTGAAATCAGTGGACTACTTCTAACATCAAATATTGCTATAAGACCCCTGTACAAGTCATCCCCATCTCGATAAGATAAGGCTAGACGCTCTCCTGAAGCATCCCATGCCATCTTATCAATTCCGTGACTGCATAAAGGAGAAAACTTCAGCGACAAATCATGCATTAGATATAAAAATGGGCATCCTCCTTTTCACATATACAGTCAGTTTCTCCAAGTAGTCCAAAGAGAAAATATACTCAGACTCACGTAAATTAGGTCTATTGGAACCAGCTTTTGCTTCGATAACCAAAGCATCTTACTCTCAATTCATAAGCCAGCGATAAAATTTTCATTTCCATCCTTTCTATTTATATAAAGTTTAATCATTTTTTAGCCTTACACTTCAACTGAAATGAAAACAATATGAAAAAATCGCTTGGAGAGGGAAAAGGGCAAACTGATACAATGTAGAATATCAAAGCAAAGAAGGAAAGAGAATATAAAAGTTGAGACATGCAGGATAGAGAGTCACCCATAAGGCCTAAACTCCCTTGTGATTAAGTCCTTCATGCTTTAGGAGTTGAAGCTCAAAAACAGAGTATACAACTAGCTGCAATTCTTTTCTGCCAAGTTGGACATGCAAATAATTCAATTAGAATATAGAAGAATGAATATTTTTTGATGCTTTATATTTTGGATAAGTTTTTTTTTTGAGAAAGTTTATATAAAGGTGGGAGTGGCCTCCGTGGAGGACAAGATGCAAGAAACGAGGCTGAGATGGTACGATCATGTGAAGAGGAGATGCATAAATGCCCTGATGAGAGGTGTGAGAGACTGACTATGGTGGGGCTAAAAAGTATTGGGGAGAGCATGGCGCGCTTCAGCTTACTAAGGACATGACCCTTCATAGGAGGGTGTGGAGGTCGAGAATTAGGGTAGAAGGTTAGTAGGTAGTCGTGCGTGTCTCCTTTTCACCAACATAGCTTTAGTACTATTCTTGTATTTTCGTTTATCCTTATTTGCAATTTTTCGTTCACTATATGTTGCTTTTTTCTCTTCGGGTATTATCTTCTTCTCTTGTTGCTACTACTTATTGTCTATGCTTCTTTTCATCTTTACTTGTTTTGCAAAAACTATCAAACAAACACAACTGGATCAGAAATTGGAATAGATTTTGGCCGAAAACTTTTTCATTCATTTTTTCCAATAAATGCCATTACTTGAGAAAGAATTGGGCCTCCAAATTTTAAAATATTCAAAGCGAACCAACAAAAGAAATTGCCTCACATAAGCTCTCTAACGGCTTGAACATCAAATATTAAGTAAATTCGTGCACCAAATTAAGAAGCTTCAGTTATACAACACTTATATTTCAATACTATCAGACACTATCACCCTACTATGAGGATTGAGGATCGGGGGCCACAATTGAGGACGACAACATTCCAGAGAATTAGCAACACCATAAAGGAGGCTCTTAAATGCTGTTTTGAAGAGGAAGTTGGACAAGCTGTGAGGAGTTCTTCAGAGAACATAAGAGGAAACAAACACCAATTTTACCATTCTTTTTCTTTTTCCCTTTTTGAAGAACCAATTTAATCATAATAAGCTCAAAATAATTCATTCAAAACCAAATCGACACTCACAAAAAAGAAAAAATAAACAGTACAGAAGTGTTTTCCAGTCCAAACGAGTGCTTTGTTCCATATCTCCATTTCCTTTAAGTTTCTTTTTCCTTTTTTGAAGAACAAATTTAATCATAATATGCTCAAAATAATTCATTCAAAACCAAATCCAGACACTCACAAACAAAGAAGAATTAAAACAATACAAGGGGGATTTTCAGTCCAAACAAGTGCTATATTCCATATCTCCATTTCCTTTCTTAGTTAATAAGGAACTGGAAGAACTGTGTGGGACTCTTATTGGAGATGGAAAAAAAAAAAAGAGAATTCAACTTGGTTAGATGGAAGTCTGATGGTTCCAATCAAAGATGGGGGATTAGGCATCAGAAAACAATCTATTTTTTAAGCAAGTTGTTTTGGGAAAATGGTTATCGAGATTTGCGCGCAAAGAAGATGCTCTATGGGGACAAATATTACAATGAAATATCGTTGTAATCAATATGGATAGTTTTCAAACGAGGTTAGAAACCATATGGAACTAGCTCATGAAAAGGAAGTATGAAAGAGAGAATGAGTTTCTCAAGATTCATTGGGTTTTCGACAACAAATATGAACCAAATACGATTTTTGTTTGATGTATGGAGTAACACCACCTCAAGGATGAATACCTTCAGATGAACATATGGAGACCATGTTTTCTACAACAATGGAGGCTTATCGGGCTCATGAAGGTGCCAATGGATTTGGAGAATTGGGCCACGAATTTAAAATGCTTACACTAATTAGCCTTTAGTCCGATTGAGGCCCAAGAATTTCAAGAAATTGAAGAAGTCCAAGAATCCATTAAATATTAGGATTTCTTTTCCTTAAAGATTAAGATTCTTTAATTCTTGTTTTAGTAGGATTATATTTATAGTTCTAGTCAAACTAGGATTGTTAGTTGGTAGTCCATTTCTACTAGAATTCTTTTTCCTATTTCAGTTAGGACAGGTTTTCTTAGCCTTATTCTTATTCTAGTTTAATTAGGATTAGTTTTCCTTAATCTTATCCATTGTACTCATTGTAAGGCCTATTTAAAAGGCTTAATATCCTGAAAATAAACATTGGTGATTAGTTTTTCTAAGCTTTTGCTTCAAAAAAGTGATTTACTTTTTATTTCATTGTTCTTCACTTATTCAACGCTTCTTGCAATCTTGCGGGATTGAAGAATGTGTTGGTGAGGTTTCTTTTCATCTTACATACGTCTAACGTGAGCTTGAAGAACGCTTTCGCTAGTTTTGTGAAAAACTTTAGCAAGGTGCTTTTGTTTTTCTCCTTTTGTGCTTGAGAGGTGCAAAACCTTGAAAGTACATCAATTTGGTATCAGAGCATAGACTCTAGATTCGAATTCTTGAATTGCTATCTTGTTCATCATGTCACCAGACAAGAAAATTGAAAGTCCAGTATCCTCTTCAATTGATGAACAAATTCAGATTGAAAGATTA